GCCTTCAGGAGAATGATATTCTATATGATTGCCTAAGGCTGTAAAAATACTGTAGTGGATGAGAAAGAAAGGTCTTTAAAGGCTGACATAGTATTTCTAGGGAACACAGCCTCATTCTTTGAAGAGAGAGCACTCTACAGCTCTTGAATTTGACAGGGAGTTCCAGGACAGCATAAGAGTCTGTAATACACACCTAGATAAAAGGTCCACATTCTGAGAAAAGTTGCTTTACCCTAATGCCAAACTGCAAACACCAAAGGCCTAGATTATTTTAAGGAGATAGACTCCAATCTCTAGGTAGGGACAGCTTCAGAGTCTTGGCTATAATACACCACTGAGATGCTGTCAGAATGGGCAAGCCAGCTGTAGAGGGCTCTGGAACCCTAGCATTTAAGATCATCTATATTTTAAAAGCTACCGAATGCATTAGTAAACATGGCTGCAGAAGAAGCAACTATTCAGATCATAAAGAATGAGAAAGTCAGAGCAACCAGTGTGACCTTGTTGGCTAATACAGATAAAATGCTGCCTCTCTGTTAAGCTTTTCTAAACTTAATGGAAGAAGGAAACATCCTGAAAATTTCCCAAGGGCAGACTACTGAGACATAGGCTCCAGAAGCTCTAATCCACTTGCCCTTTAATCTGTAACTGCTGTGGAGAGGATGAGCAAATGAAAGACTGATCAAGAGCTAAAATTTGCATTCTAAAACAGTAAAAATTTATCAGGGAGGGGGCTAGGTTTTCAACCATTCTGGCCCTCACAAGAATGGAGACTGGCTGGAACTAACTGGAAAAGGCATAAAGATAAAAAGCACTAAGGAACTTGGTGCTCAGTAGAACTAGAAAACAAGTTGCAAGGAATCAGAATATTTAAGACAAAATTACCACCAGCACCAAAATATATGAAAACTAAAGAATTAGTATTACACGCTCTGAGTTCTGAAACTTGACCCTAGCTTGTGTATGTGACATAAAGCTAAAATTTTCTCTAGGGCAGGCATCCCCAAACTATGGCCCGCGGGCCGCATGTGGCCCCCTGAGGCCATTTATCCGGCCCCCCTCCGCACTTCAGGAAGGGGCACCTCTTTCATTGGTGGTCAGTGAGAGGAGCACAGTATGTGGCGGCCCTCCACCGGTCTGAGGGACCGTGAACTGGCCCCCTGTGTAAAAAGTTTGGGGATGCCTGGTCTAGGGTGATAGGAGTCAAGTAAAAGGTGTATGTAAGGATAGTATGTGTCTAATCTAGGAGGTATACAAGAAGAGTCTGGCTGAATAGGTGCCAAATCCAGCAGTTTTTAAAAAGTGTTTCTAGATATGGTAGGCAATATGCCAGGGCAGAGAAGAGAGCAGAAAAGATCTAAAAGATATCGTAGCGAAATGGATTTTCTACCTCAGTCTATCCCTCCATGTCCTCCAAATTTAATCAAGAGCAAAGACAGAAAGCTAGGCTCCTTTTCTCTAATTTGTGCTCTACATGCAGTGATAAAGTTCTACAGATTTTACCTCCTTAATGGTTCTAGTGATGGCAGACCTGTTCCTAGGCAGATAGTGGCAGGGTCCTTGGTGAAACCTGACCTTCAGGTGGAAGACTGCCTGAAGCCTGAGAACTGGGCAGCCGGTTCCTGGTGGAATCCACCACCCTGAGTGAGAATTTCCTTTGTGCCTTTCAGCCAATCAAATGGTGGTTCTTCCAGGCCACCCATGGACCAATCGGCACACACTTCCTCCTGCCCATGGACCAATCAGCATACACTTCCCGATTTTGAGCCAATAAACCCTCCCCCATCCCCCCCAACCCACTTCAGTCACTCATCAGGACTACCCATTTGGGGTCTCCTGTCCACGGAGAGATGTTCTATTGCTTAATAAAACTCTTCTCTGCCTTGCTTACCATCCAGTTGTCCATGTGACCTCATTATTACTGGATGCAGGACAATAACTTAGGAACCCTGCAAAGGCAGGTGCGGAAAGGGCTGTAACACTTCCTTGGCTACCTTGCTGAGCTGCCGGCAGAAGCAAACGGGGTTGTAACATGTTCCTGGCCAGCTCGCCAAGCTGCAGGCAGTGATACCAACTGCAGGAGTGAAGAGCAGCAACACTTCTAGGGGCCCAGACCTGGGAATTCCAGGTTATAGTGTTAAAGCCAGAGCTGTAACACTATAACCCTCCCACCTTCCTCCAGCATCAGGCAGCTGCCCCACATGACGGGAAGTGACAATGGGATTGGACCAGCATGGGAGCCATCAGCCCAAGCGAGGTGGCGGGACTGAACAAGCTAAAACACACTCTGCCCTTCCCACTGGCCAAGCTGTGGTTGGAAGGAACGAGAGAGCTGTAGCATCCCTGCCCCCCAACCCCTGGGGACTCCCCAGTTATTGGGATCTCTGAGTTTTCAGGCACCACCATGTTCCCCTCATCCAGACACAGGCACCCACAGAGGAAGCTGCTTGCAGTATGCTTGGTCCAGCTGCAGCCCTCATGGAGCTGGTGACTGTGCCAGTGCCTGAAGCTGCCTACCTTGCTACAGCAGCCAGTGTGTTTGGCTGTGCACAGTGACCAGACCCCACGCTCACTAACTCGCTCACACACCCCTCACTGCTCCACGCCTAGCTCACCCTCGGTAGGTGTGGGATCCAGGCCAGTAGCATGAGCTGAGCACAGCCTGCAGGGCCAAGTGGGCAGAACGAGCCCGGTGGACATGAGTGAAACTCAGAGACACTGCCAGCCCCAGAAGTTGCCGGCTGGTGAAGAAACATCCAAAGTATCCTAGGAGGTGGGATTACAGGGGTGAACCAGCGTGCCTAGTCGAAAAATTTTTAATTATAGCAGTTCTACTTTGAGTCTCACAGTTCCTGGAGATAAGGAGATTATTATTATCATCCCTAGGGCTGCCTAAAAGCTCTCTGTTGTATTCACTTACACTGTTTCTTACCATTGTCACTACTATTGGTAATTTAATACAATAACACAATGAAGTTACACTATGAAGACCAATGACGCCAAGAATTAAGTGTTTATCCTCTTCCCAAGAACTGGTGCACCAAGACTTGGAGAGGTGGACACAACTGGAGAAGCAACATTGGAGAAGCAACGGAGGTAATATAGAAATGAAGAAAAGGAGATCAAAGGACTTAAATCTTCCAAGTACTCCCCTGAGATAGGTTCAATATGCTTTTCTTTTTCTTTTTCTTTTTCTTTTTTTTTTTTTTTGAGACAGTCTTGCTACAGTCACCCAGGCTGGAGTGCAGTGGCACAATCTCAGCTCACTGCAACCTCACACCCCAGGTTCAAGCAATTCTACTGCCTCTGTCTCCTGCGTAGCTGGGATTACAAACATGTGCGACCACAACTGGCTAATTTTTGTATTTTTAGTAGAGATAGGTTTTCACCATGTTGGCCAGGCTGGTCTCAAACTCCTGGCCTCAAGTGATCTGCCTACCTCAGTTTCCCAAAGTGCTGGGATTACAGGCTCCAAGAGTGAGACAAGATCACGCCATTGCACTCCAGCCTGGGCAATAAGAGTGAAACTTCATCTCAAAATATATATGTGTGTGTGTGTGTGTGTGTGTGTGTGTGTGTATTTTACACTACTACAATGCTTTATGAACATTTGTATAAAATGTTGCCAGGCATGGTGGCTCACACCTGTAATCCTAATACTTTGGGAAGCTGAGGCGGGTGGATCACCTGAGGTCAGGAGTTTGAGACCAGCCTGGCCAGCATAATGAAAGCCTGTCTCTACTAAAAATGCAAAAATTATCTGTGCCTGGTGGCGGACAGCGGTAATTCTAGCTACTCAGGAGGCTGAGGCAGGAGAATTGCTTGAATTTAGGAGGTGGAGGTTACAGTGAGCCAAGATTGCACCATTGCACTCCAGCCTGGGAGATGATTAAAAAACTCTGTCTTGGGGGAAAAAAAAATCAAAAACATAAAATGTTATTCTCCTTCAGACTGTTTCCTGGGCTCCTTATGTATAATCCTTTATCAATATCTCATTATATTTTTAGGATAATCCTTATTCCACAAAATCTTACAGGCTTTATTAAAATATTTAAGCTCATAGGTGCTTACAGAAAAAAGTCCTTTGCCTCTGAGAAAATTACAAAGCATTAAATTAACTTGCATTAGATTTTTTTCTGAGACTATAAATAACCTTGTTTGGTTTTTGCTATTGCTATCAATGAAGAGTTACTGCAACTAGACTTGCACTGTCCAGTATGATAGCATTGGTTATGTGGCTGTATAAACTGAAATTAATTAAAGTTTGAAACATCAAATTTAGTTCCTCAGTTCTACTCACATCTGAAGACTTCATTAACTTTCTGTGGCTAGTGGTTACCATATTGGACAGCACATTTATAGAACATTTCCATCATAGTGGAAAATTTTATTGGATAATACCGAACCAGAGAAAAAAATTAACAAAATGTTTTATCTAAATAGGAAGCATTATCAAAGTCTGAGCTATTTGCTAATAAAATTGCTTTATTTTAGTTCTACAGCATCTATAAATGTTGCAATGAATGTGTCATTCTAAATGCATGTTACCTCGTTTCATATCTCTAAAATGTTTATTTTTGTAAATAAATAAAATATTGTTGAATATGTGTCTCCTTGCTTTTATTCTTTGGATCCTGATGTTGTATTCCGTTTCCACTTGTTTTTACAACATTTAAAGATTTTGCTGTATTCCATTGCCATGGCCTATGACCTAAAATAATTCTATTGATATTACGTTATACTGATCATTTTCAGTCTGAAAAGTATGATGGTGATTAAGTTTTATATTAGGAATAAGAGAGCTCAATACAGTAGAAGTATCTACCTCACCTTTTGTAATTATAAGACTTTGGAAATTTTGAACAATGAGAAATTTTACATTGTTTCTCTTTGTTATACAATATGCTCTTATATAAAGTTTGTGTAGAGAATGCTTGTTAATGAGTTTTATAACTTTCTTTCATTGAAAGGTAGTATTTTAATGTTTTTCTTAATTCTAGGAAGCTCTACAAAGGATCATTTCAACTCTGGCAAATAAAAATGATGAAATTCAGAACTTTATTGATACACTAAATCATACACTAAAAGGAGTTCAGGTATGATTTTTTTAATGAAAAATTTTGTGTAAATATGTCACAATGAATGAGTCAAATATGAAGTATAAATATACTCTATGAACTTTGGATTATAAACTAATGGAGGTGAGAGCACAGTTTTAAAATAGCGGATAAAGTAAAAATGTTTACCTTGCAATTCCTGTTTTCTCCATGGAAAAATCAAAATAGGGAAAAGGAAAACTCTGGAATAATAGTTGTTGGGGAATACCAGAGTGCTCTTTTGTCCTTTTCCATTTGACATTTTTTCTAATTTCAATTAAGAGCAAATTGTACTTTTTGAAAAGTGCTGGCAAGTAAAACATTTCTTTTATAATAAACGATGGAAGAAAAATGGCCATCTATGGTGGCTCATGCTTGTAATATCAGCATTTTGGCAGGCTGAGGCAGGTCGATGGGTTGAACCCAGGAGTTTGAAACCAGTCTGGGCAACATGGCGAGACCCCCATCTCTACCAAAAAAAAAAAAAAAAGAGAGAGATGCAAAAATTAGCTGGTTGTGGTAGCATATGCATGTAGTCTAAGCTACCCAGGAGGTTGAGGTAGGAGGATTGTTTGAGCCCAGGGGCTCGAGGCTGCAGTGAGCAGTGATTGTACCACTGCACTCTAGCCAGCCTGGGTGATAGAATGAGACTGTGTCTCAAAAAAAAACCAGAAAAGAAAATATTAATGGTAAGAGGTCTACTTGTAGAAGTAGATGAAAGTAACTTAAAAATAAAAGGTAAAGTCCCCACTGAGGAGGGAGAGGAATACTTAAGAAAATAGTTCCAGGTTTGGGCAGATAATCTATGTTGAAAGTAATGACGTATTGATTGTGGAAGAGAGCTCAAGATAATCTGGTTGCTAGAAATGTACAACCTCTTGAGACTGAATCAGAAAGAAATGGAAAATCTGAATAGATCAGTAATGAATAAGGAAATTGAATCAGTAATAAAGTCTCCCATCAAAGAAACGCCTGCAACCTGATGGCTTTACTGCTGAATTCTACCAAATATTTAAAGAGCTAATATCAGTTCTTCTCAGCCTCTTCTAAAAAATCAAAGAGGAAGGAGTACTTTCAAATCCATTTACAAGTTCAACATTACCCGGATAACAAAGCCAAACCAGGAATACTACAAAAAGGGAGGCCAATATGTTCCTAATCAACATAGTTGCAAAAATCCTCAATAAAATATTAGCAAACTGAATTCAATAGCACATTAAAAGGATCATTCACCATGATCCAGTAGGATTTATGCCTGGGATGCAAGGATGGTTCAACAGAAGTCAATAAATGTGATATACCATATTAACAAAACTAAAGACAAAAATAATGCCTGATTATCTCAGTAGATGCAGAAAAAGAATTGGACAAAATTCAGCATCCTTTCTTAATAAAAACTCTCCACAAATTAGGTGAAGAAGGAATGTACCACAACATAGTAAAGGCCATATATATAATAGCAATCCCACAGCTATATCATCTTATCAAAGGTGAAAAGTCAAAAGCTTATTCTCTAGTCAGGAACAAAACAAAGATGTTTACTTTCACACACCGCCCCCCCCCCCGCCTTTTTTTTTTTTTTTTTTTTTTTTTTTTTTTTTTGAGACAGAGACTCGTTCTGTCGGCCAGGCTGGAATGCAATGCCACAGTCTCGGCTCACTGCAACTTCCGCCTCCCAGGTTCAAGTGATTCTCCTGCCTCAGCCTCCTGAGTAGTGGGACTAAAGGGGTGTGCTAACACACCCAGCTAATTTTTGTATTTTTAGTAGTGATGTGGTTTTGCCATGTTGGCTAGGCTGGTCTTGAACTCCTGACCTCAGGCGATCTCCGCCTCGGCCTTCCAAAGTGCTAGGATTACAGACATGAACCACTGTGCCCAGCCTACTCTCACCACTTCTATTTAATACAGTACTAGTAGTCCTAGCTAGAGCATTTAGGCAAGGAAAAGACATCCAAATAGGAAAGGAAGAAGTGAAATTATGTTTTCTGATGACATGATCTTATATATAGAAGACTCTAAAGACTCTACTAAAAAAATTATTAGAACTGATAAACAAATTCAGTAAAGTTACAGAATGCAATATCAACACACAAAAATTAGTATTGCTTCTATACACGAACTATTTGAATAAGAAAATAATCTCATTTGCTGTAGCATAAAAAAAGGAGTAAATTTACCTAATGAAATAAAATATTTATATACTAAAAGGTATAAAACAGTGATAAAAGAAATTAAAGAAGACACAAGTGAATAGAAAAATATCCCGTTTATAAACTAGATGAATTAATATTGCTACAATGTTTGTATTACCTAATCTACCCATTTATTGTAATTTCTATCAAAATACCAATGCTATTTTCCACAGAAATAGAAAAAATCCTAATATGTGTATAGAATTACAAAAGACCCAGTATAACCAAAATGATTTTTAGCAAAAAGAACATTCATGGGAGGCAGAGGTGGGTGGAGTTTGGGACCAGCCTGGCCAACATGGTGAAATGCCATCTCTACTAAAAATATAAAAATTAACCTGGTTGTGGTGGCAGGCACTTACAATCCCAGTGACTCAGGAGGCTGAGATGGGAGATGCTTGAACCCAGGAGGTGGAGGTTGCAGTGAGCCAAGATTTGCACCACTGCACTCCAGCCTGGGCAACAGAGCAAGACTCTGTCTCATAAAAACGAAACAAAACAAAACAAAAAGCTTCATCATTCTAGCTATCTTGAACTATTTTATTGGAAAATTTGGTGAGTCAGCTTCCTTTAAATAAGCATAAAGCTAATGGCTCTAAAGCTCTTGATCTATGGACAAGAGAACATCACATTTGGTATCTGGAAGGAGAGATCTTATGTAGCGCTAGCCCAAACCATTCTTCTGATTGATAAATTATTAGAAATCTACCTTAACTCTAGGGAAAAAAAAGGAGTGGGAGCGTTAAATTACACCCTTGTCTCTGAAGATGAGGGCTTAGTAGTAGGCAAAAGGCAACAAGCTGCCATCTGGTGATTGAGACAAAATAGTCCATTTCTTTTCTCTTTTTCTTTTTCCTTTTGAGATGGAGTTTTGCTCTTGTTGCCCAGGCTGTAGTGCAATGGTGTGATCTCGGCTTACCTCAACCTCTGCCTCCCGGGTTCAAGAGATTCTCCCGCCTCAGCCTCCTGAGTAACTGGGATTACAGGCATGTGCCACCATGCTTAATTTTGTATTTTTAATAGAGATGGGCTTTCTCCATGTTGGTCAGGCTGGTCTCGAGCTCCTGACCTCAGGTGATCTGCCTGCCTTGGCCTCCCAAAGTGCTGGGATCACAGGCATGAGCCATTGCGCCTGGCCCATTTCTTTTTTATTAATGAATAAACTGAGGTCTAGGAATGTAAGTACAAGGTCATGCTGTTACTGAGTGGCTAGTGTGCTATTTGAGTTAGGTCTTCTCCCTTCCGCACTGCACATTCCACTTCTGTAGTTGTTCTTACCTCTGCAAATAGAACTAGTAAAATGATTACCACCACCTTTGGTGAGGTACCAGTGAGGTGTCTAGTTTTTATAAACATTATAAGCAAAAGTTTGGACATACGGTATTACAGTAGATTGTATATATATGTTAGTTCTCTTAGCCAGTGCCCATTCCCTTGTCTTTTTTTTTTTTTTTTTTTTTTTTTGAGACGGAGTTTCGCTCTTGTTACCCAGGCTGGAGTGCAATGGCGCGATCTCGGCTCACTGCAACCTCCGCCTCCTGGGTTCAAGCAATTCTCTTGCCTCAGCCTCCTGAGTAGCTGGGATTACAGGCACGTGCCACCATGCTCAGCTAATATTTTTTGTATTTTTAGTAGAGACGGGGTTTCACCATGTTGACCAGGATGGTCTCGATCTCTTGACCTCGTGATCCACCCGCCTCGGCCTCCCAGAGTGCTGGGATTACAGGCTTGAGCCACCGCACCTGGCCTTCCCTTGTCTTAATTGAATGATTCATCCAAGTTGAAAAATGTCTTAGGATAATTTCTTCTATCTCATAATTGTTGCAAGTGTGGATATTGCTTATCTAGGGATTTTACAAATATTTTAAGTTATTTTTTGTTGAAATAGCAGCATCCCACTTATGGAGGCAGTGAGGAACTCTGAGAAGTCAAGAGACTTGAAATGCTTTACTGCCCATGTTACTAGTAACTAGTTGTGTGGCTTTGGGCCAGTAACTTATCTGTATTTTAGTTAATAAAATACAGGATTTGACTACAAATTGTAGTCATTAGATGATTCAATATTTGATAAATATCTTAGGATCCAATAAATAATTGCTTAATCTTTTAATTTCTGTTTATCTTACATAAATACGGTGTTTTAGAGACCCTGAAAGATTTTAAAATTTTAGACAAATCTGCCTCATTTCTTTATGTGTAAAGTATTCCTCAGAATTACTAAATTAAAATCTCTGGAATATTTTATTAAAATACTTCACCAGTGATCCTGATATGCACCAGAGGTTAAGAACCATTGGCTTAGAGTCTGCCTGAGAGACTGAAGATCTGGGTGAAGTTGGGAACCTTAAAACAACCTTTCATGTTGTCCTGTGGAAACAGTGAAGTGAAGAGAGTATGGTCTAGTTTATAAAAGGTAACTTAACTGATAGTATAGCTGAAATAGTACTGTCAGCATTAGCAGGCAGTTTGTTTCATTTATCTCTTTTTAAAGGCTTAAGTCAAATATTAGAATTATGTTATTTTTGTATTAGGCCCACATAGTTTATAATATAAATTTATTCTCTCTTGAGTATACTTTTTAGTTTTTAAATGTTTGATAGCTCTTCAGTAAAATTGTTTTGTTATTTAAACAGGAAAATTCATCTAACATACTCTCAGAGTTAGATGAAGAATTTGATAGTTTATACTCTATACTGGATGAAGTGAAAGAAAGCATGGTTAACAGTATCAAGCAGGAACAAGCTCGTAAATCCCAAGAGTTACAGGTGAGATCATACAATTATTTAAATATGAACAATAACTTTAGTCTATTTAATGCTTGATTTATGGTAAGCAAAAATTAGTGAATTTCTGAGTTTGACTATACCCTTACCTTGTAGAAGAATGGCATTTTGTTTTGGCCATAAGTGTTCTAAAATTGTGGTTAAAAAACATTTATTCTCTTAAACTTTTTTTTTTTTTTGAGACAGAGTCTCCCTCTGTTACCCAGGCTGGAGTAATCTTGGCTCACTGCAACCTCCGCCTCCGGCGTTCAAGTGATTCTCCTGCCTCAGCCTCCCAAGTAGCTGGGATTATAGGTGCCCACCACCACACCCAGCTAATTTTTTTTTTTTTTTTTGAGACGGAGTTTCGCTCTTGTTGCCCAGGCTGGAGTGCAATGGCGCGATCTCGGCTCACCGCAACCTCCGCCTCCTGGGCTCAGGCAATTCTCCTGCCTCAGCCTCCTAAGTAGCTGGGATTACAGGCACGTGCCACCATGCCCAGCTAGTTTTTTGTATTTTTAGTAGAGACAGGGTTTCACCATGTTGACCAGAATGGTCTCGATCTCTCGACCTCGTGATCCACCCGCCTCGGCCTCCCAGAGTGCTGGGATTACAGGCTTGAGCCACCGCGCCCGGCGAATTTTTGTATTTTTAATAGAGATGGGATCTCACCACGTTAACCAAGCTGGTCTCAAACCCCTGACCTCAGGTGATCCACCTGTCTTGGCCTCCCAAAGTGCTGGGATTATAGGCGTGAGTCACCATGGCTGGCCAATTCTCTTAACTATTTTAAAGTGTACAGTGTATAGTTTGATAGTGTTAAATATATTAACATTGTTGTATAACAGATCTTCCGAATTTTTTCATCTTGTGCAAGTGAAACTTTATGTTCCTTGATGAACCACTCATTTCTTTTTCCTAGGAGCCCCTGGCAGTCATCATATTATTTTCCGTTTCCATGATTTTGAATGTCTGCATGTCTCATATAAGTGGAATCATATAGCATTTGTCCTTTTGTGACTTATTTCCACTCAGTATAATGTCCTCAAGATTTATTCATGTTGTAGCATATGCTAGGATTTCTTTCTTTTTTGTGTTTTAATAATCTTCCACTTATGTATATGCCACATTTTCTTCATTCATTTGTATGTCTGTGGACATTTGGGCAGCTTATACCTTCTAGCTCTTGTGAATAATTCTGCAGTGAACATGGGAGTTTAAATATCTCTTTAAGATCCTGTTTTCAATTCTTTTGAATACGTATACTTAGGATTGCTGAGTCATGTGGTAATTATCTTTTTAGTTTTCTGAGGATCCGCTAAACAATGTTTTCCATAGTGGTTGCACCATTTTACATTTCTGCCGAGCCCAAGGCTTCCAATTTCTTCATATCCTCACCAATGCTTTTTATTTTCTGTTTTTTTTGGATAATGGCCATCGTAATGGGTATGATATGATATTTCATTGTGGTTCTGATTTGCATTTCTCTAGTGATTAGTGATGTTGAGCATCCATCTTTTCATGTATTTGTTGGCCATTAATGTACTTTCTTTTTTTTGAGACGGAGTCTTGCTCTGTCACCCAGGCTAGAGTGCAGTGGTGCCTCTGGATTCAAGTGATTCTCCTGCCTCAGCCTCCTGGGAAACTGGGATTACAGGTGTGTGCCACCATGCCTGACTAATTTTTTGTATTTTTAATAGAAACAAGATTTCACTGTGTTAGCCAGGATGGTCTCACTCTTTTGACCTTGTGATCTGCCCATCTTGGCCTCCCAAACTGTTAGGATTACAGGCATCAGCCACTGTGCCTGGCAAACTGATTAATGTATTTTCTTCAGAGAAATGTCTATTCAGGTTATTTGGCCATCTTTTAATTGGGTTACTTGTGGGGTTTTTGGTGGTGGTTAAGTTGTAGGAGTTTTCTAATCATTCTGTATATTAACTCCTTATCAGGTGTATGATTTGAAGTTTATTGAGATAATGAAAGAACAGAACTCCCTTAGAGTCTTACTATATTGAAGCAGAGTCAGGGCTGAAGGAGGAGAGCTCCAATAACATTCACATTATGGCATGTGGGTTTTGATCTTGTAGGAGAGTTTTCCTTTTTAATTTAAGGTGCTTAAATTTTCAGAATTAGATAATCTTCACCCACTGTGGATTTTGGACTTAAAATATGTCTTCAGACTTCTAGGACAAGTGATTTTTTTTTTTTTTTTTTTTTTTTTTTAGAACTTGTTTTTTGAAAACCTTATACAGAGCTGCATATATGTGTACACAAGTAAAGTATACATTGCTTTTCTTAGACTGGGCTGAATTTATTGCTCTTGTAAACTGATGAATTTATATTTTTGCTTTTGACAAAATTCCCAACAGTACATCATTGGGTCATATAAATTTATCTAAACTTTTTTTGTCATGAAGCCTCAGGTAAACTCTGTTCACTTTGGGTTTTGTGAATCTTAATTAAAATAATGAACACAGTGATTTTTTTTTTCAGCTGATCTGATCGGATTCATGGAAATCTATTAAAATTGTATTTGGGCTCTTTTTAAATGGGACGACTTTACTCTGATTTTTTGATCAAGTATTCTAACAAATTCATTATTAGCTATTGATTATCAATGGGGAATTAAAAATGTTGCAGAAAATGGAAGAAACAATTTAAATTCTGTTCCGAAGTGGTGATAGCAAAGGTGTTAGCACGATCTTCTATTGCTTTATCACCATTTCAACTCTACATTTTTTCCAGTTATTCCATTCAACTTTTATCTTTTATCTTATATTTTATTATCCTGTGTAATTCTTAATATTTATGTCTTCTCAATACCACAGAAATATTGGTAATTTTTTTTACAGGGGTAGGGATCTAGGGGAGATCAGGGAATAGTAAAGGGACAGTAGTTGGTTATAAAATAAGACTAAGCTATTGAATCATAAACTTGGTGAACAAAACTGTTCATTCTTGAACTTGTTATTGTGTTATGATTCAAAGGAAAAGCTGTGATGATAGCAACCTAATGGAAATTGAGCCATAAAGTTTTCTTGGGATAGCTTAAAAAACAAATATGAAAAAGAGTCAGACTTGGCTACTAAGGCCATTTCCATCTTTAGTTGAAGTTTGTAGAGAATCTGTTCTTTTTTTTAGGTTTACAAAATTATTCATAATATCTCTGAATAACTGGTAAGTTACTGCTCTTAAATTGCATTCCTCTGTAACCTGCCCCTGTTTTTGCTTTTCCTCTTGACCTCAAAGCAAATCCATAGCATTTCTTAGAATAAAATACTTTATCTAAAACTTTGACCTCAGTCTGGACTTTTAATATTTCCTTGAGGTATATTTCCTGTTCTCATTTTTTTGGCTTTAATGCTACATTGACTTTGTCTGCCCCATTGATCCTACCATTTTGCTTAAACCTTTTGAATAAAGCAAATCTCCAAATGGGATATTCCAAATGGTTGTTGGTTAATTCTTGTTTGGGACTCATGAGATTTACTGCCCCATAAGAGGGGCAGTATTTTTACAAAATTGTGGTTAGGTTTTTAAACTAACACATGAAACCCTATTTTAACCCAAAACGTGACTGAACTATTCAACTTTTCCAAAGTCAAATAGTAGAACACATCAGAAACCAGTAAAATCAGCCATGGTTTATCTTTAGTCCTAATCCTGAGGGAAAAATAAGTAGATTTGAATCTCAGATTTGATATTAATAAATATTCTGAAGAAAAATCTTTGGTACATTTAAAAGCTTAGAAATAGGATCTGTTTATTTGTTTGAAGGTAAACTAACAATCTTTTCAAGTTACACATAGGAACAACAGAATAAGAAAGATTGTATTAGGTAGAATTCATATGTGAGCAATAAAGACAGAGCACATCACTATAACAACTGTCATCTTTTGAATTTCTTTGGAATTTTCTTTTGAATTCTAGGAACTTGCATTAGTAGTTCCTATGCTATCCAGTCTTAGAAACTATAAATTAGCATTTATAGTAGTATGCATTACTTGTGTAGTTTGATGAATGAAGTACTAAGATTGTGCTAAACTGAATGTACCTGTAACTTCATTTACAAATTGCAGCTTAAATAGTTAACTACCACCAAGAATTTTAGTCTTCATTACAGAGGATGTTGTCTGTAGATATATTATTTTGATATTTTGATTTAAATTGAAGATATTTTCCTATCTTAATTGTGAAGAGTGCTTAAGTTAATTTGGCTTTAGTTATTTATAATTATTTTCTTTTTTGTTTTAAATGATGAGTATATCTTTACCTGTATGCAGTTAAGCTGTTTTTGATAAATCATGGAAAGAGGTACAAAGTATTAGGATAATTAAAATTTGTTATTTATATTTATATATATAACAAATATAACAAGTTTTATATGTATAAAACTTGTCTTATCGTGCTACAATAGCTCACTGAACTATTTTTGCTGTATTATTGCTATTAAAATTATTTGTAAGTTCATTGTAACAATATATATTTAAGATTCTGATGGCAATAGGAAATTTCGTTTTAATGATTTAGTGTGTTTTTTTTCCCCCTAGAGTCAGATTAGTCAATGTAATAATGCCCTGGAGAACTCTGAAGAACTACTAGAATTTGCAACAAGGTCGTTAGATATAAAGGAACCTGAAGAATTTTCAAAGGTATGCCAAAACTGCATTAATACACTTAACAAGGAAAATTGTATTTTTAAAAAGGCATTTTTGTTTTTCTTTAGTTTTGGATTTCTTTACTCATTTCTGATACTAATAAAGGTTTGAGGTTTCTTGATAAGTAAAATGCTAGCTGTTTATTGATTCCAAAGCAAACACTTAGAACTATGTGTCTTTGGGGTCATCAACAAACATGTTTAAAAAGTGTGTTTGTGTTCCTTCTATGAACTGACTGGGAAAGCCTCCTTAACTTTATGCACATGAGCACTGTGACTGTGTAACTTCTTACTGCAGATAAATGCCCCTCTACTTAATTTAAGTAAGTGAATGTTTTATTAAAACATGAAATGTATATCCTTACTTAAGGGATGCGCTTAGTATAAAAATGTAAAGAGTAGAGCAAGAAGCCTACTAATGTTTTAACTTAGATCCTGGTGTTTAAGTGATTGTAAATTCTGAATTCAATGCTGCTTTTAAGTAGGGTCATTTTAAATGATTATCATTTTGTTAAATGAAAATTCAGAAATGGAGAATATATTTTAAAATGATGTGAAAAAAGTGGGAAATTAAGCTATATAATTAGCAAAATATTACTGTGTAGTTATCAAGATAAGATTTGATGTTGATGTTATTTACTTCACCTTTGTGAAGTGTATAGTGAGCTGTATTGGTGTTAGAAAGGTAGCTTTATAATTGATTTATGCCTAGTGATTGTTTTCATTTTATGATTTTCTGTAAACTTGAAGGTAGAAAAAACTTTCTGGAGAAGGTAACATTTACCACCTTACATCTTTGAATATTAAAATTGAACTTTAACATTGATTTCTTCTTCTAAACAAATGAATCAAAACAAAAGTTCTTTTGCTGTAAGTCAGTATATGAATTAATTCTTTACATTTGGAGGTGAGTTGTAATGAAGCTTACTTATGCACATAGTTGGACTTATTATATAAAGGGATTATAAGAGAAATGTACCATACTTAAAAGTACTTTAAAAGTATGATATGTTGGCCAGGTGAGGTGTGGTGGCTCGTGCCTGTAATCCCAGCGCTATGGGAAACCAAGGTGGGTGGATTGCTTCAGCACAGACGTTTGAGACCAGACTGGGCAACATGGCGAGACCTTGTCTGTACAAAATATACAAAAAAATTAGCTGGGCATGGTGGTATGCACCTGTATTCCCAGCTACTTGGAGGCTGAGCTGGGAGGATTGCCTGAGCCTAGGAAGTCTGTTTCCTGTTTGTCAACAAATTCTCCTTTTAGTGGAACAGGGCATTTGTTAATGACAGGCATAGTCATAGCAGCAAGAATTACCAACTGACAGCCTGAGAGTGAGGAAGAAGACAAGAAAACTATAAAATATGGACACTAATACTCAAAAATGCCTTGAATCCAGTTGATTTAAGAAGGGACGGATACTTGGAAAAACTGATAAAAGTTTATTTCTCCCACGTTTCTCTTTTTATTGACATTTTCGGAGTTCTTCTGTCTTCTTTCTCCCAAGTGCTACCCTTTTCTCTTTCACTGTCCTTTGTTCTTTCCAGCTTTGTTTCTGTTATAATTTGTCCTGACAGATTATAAATTAGAAAGGTTCTGATAAAATAAGTCACATTGTGGTTTAATATGCTACTTTGCTTATTCTTACTATTTTGGTCTTGTCTTGCAGCAGTTTATAGTACTAGTTAGTAGCTTAAACCATTTGGAGATGTGGTGAAATGAATTACAACCATGGGTCGCTTAATGATGAGGATGTGTTCTAAGAAATGTATCTCGTTAGGCAGTTTCATCATTGTGGGAACGCTAGAGTGTAATGACACAAATCTAGATAGTATAGCCTACTACCTACCTTGGCTGTATGGTATAGTCTGTTGCTTCGGTGCTACAAACCTGTGTAGCATGTCACTGTACTGAATACTGTAGGCAACTGCAATATAGTGGCAAGTATTTGTGTATCTCAACATACAAAGGGTATAGTAAAAATACAGTATTATAATTTTATGGGACCACCATTGCATATGCAGTCCATTATTGACTGAAACATAGTTATGTGGCGATTACTGTATCTTTTAGTGTTTCCTAGCCAGAAATCTGGGTTTATCATTCTGGAAAAATGCTTGACTGAGAGCTGCTTGCAGTTATTTTCTTCATATATTCAAATACTATCCAGATAATGATTTGATTCCATGTCAGAAACTAAGTTAACTTTCCTAGCCAGCTATCAACTACAGGCCTGCCACAGACAGCTAGTTGCTGACTGAATAGGTAGAGATGACTTTGGAGATTGTCAGTCTAGCAGTATATTGTTAGATGTCTGGGAAAAGAAATTCCTTTAAAGTATACTGTTTGTGAATATCCTGTATTAAAGTGCTTAAATGAGATTAATATGAATGGCTTATGGAGACAAAAAGAATAGCATAGGCTAAAATAGAGGCAGTGTGTCTTTTCATACTTCATTATCTTCAAAAGTATTTTAAGTTCTAATATTTAAATTATCACATTGCAGTATCTCATATGAGAACTGAATGTGAAGCTGTGCTGTGTACTAGCCTTTTACTTTCTGAAAGTAAACAAATAAAACTAGCACAAATGCAAAAAGATTTTAGAACATACCTTCACTAATTTTTTTAACTGCTAGAAGTTTGGTTGTTAGTAAATTGATGCAGAAGGATCACCAGCAAATTGGATCCAGATCAATCATAGCTTTATTCCTGGACTTACCGATTGGCAACATCCCACCAAATGTGGGTTCTCTGCTACTAGCTGGCCTGAAGAACACTGCTTGGGTTCTTTACCAGAATTAATATTTCTATTCCCACCCTGACTTTAGGCTTGAATGCTCTCTATATAGAGAGCTGGGTCAGTGGGACAATTTCCAAGTCAGTATAAATAACTTGCTATCACAATCTTGCCACCCGTACTCCAGTTGTCAGACTAGAAGGGAGAAAATGGTTTCCTGCTCATGGGGGTCCCTAAAATAGAGGAGTAAAAAGTACAGAGTTAGGTGAAAGGGGAACAGTGTCTTCTGCATTTGATCACAGATGAAGAGGGAGAATGGGTTTAGTGTATTTCCCACATCTCACTTACAATGGATGATTCACCTGTAGAATATTGTCCAATGAGTGTTAGGCTCTGACCACTGGCAGGAGTAAGAGGGGAAGTAGGTAGAAGCTATCTTAGTACTTTCAAATGAGAAGAAATACTGCCAGAAACTCCCTCTGTAGGCTGAAGTGTAGAATATTAGGAGACAGTAGAGGAACTTCAACAAAAGCATGAATGTTTCAGTTTGAGGGCAATATAAAAAAACAAATCTAAATATTTGTTAAGCATAGGTCAAACTGTAATTTTCACCTTAATTTCATTTCTGGGTGTTTCTGTCACAGTCTCCTGTTGTACAAATGTGCCTAATCACAAAACAGTTGCCTGCAGTGCTGTATTTGAAAGTGTATTTTAAGTTATTTACTGTGGCTTTTGTGATAGATTCTTTCAAATGATCATGCTTTTTGAAAAATAGTTCCTTTTATAAACAGATAAATATATGTCTACCAGATGCAAAACTTCCAGTGTATGGAATCAGCTGGTGTGTAATCTGTTTTTTTTTTCCAAAGACGTATATTTTTTGCCTAAAAAAAAAAAATGTTTTGAGGCTATTTTTCCCTCTTCCTTTCTGTAAAAAGAGAAGTTATGATATTAAAGAAGAAAGATAGAAACAGTAAGATACTTTATCTTTAAAGTGCTTGATAAATTCACAGAAGAAAATAGATTTTATATTCACCCATTACAGATTAAGAACAAGAGAGATTGAGAAAAGATCTATTTAACTCATTTCTCTATAATTGGAAAAATATCTGGTTTAACATCTTTAAATTTAATTTGCAGTTATGAAGATTGGTTTGTGATTACTTCTACATTATACTTGTATTACAGTTTCTCTGCATTCATATCAGAGATGTTGCCTACCTTTCTCTCTCTCTCTCTTCCCTCATTCCCTCTCTCCATCTCTAAGTTAATTGTTTTTAAACTAAATCTTAGAATTCCATTTCTTTAATCAGTCATAGAAATGTGTCACCAGAGACCAAACTTCCTTAAATAGAATTGTAATGCTGAATTTTGTCAAACATCTGTTTAATTAGTACCAACTGATTCTGAGATTTACCACTGCTTTGTTGCCAAGACATTTATTTGAGCCTACATAATTCCACGTAGTGAGTTATGAAGAAGCTCCAGTGAATGTTCAGATTTATTTTTAGGTTATAGTACTGTGTATTATTGAAAAGCTTCCATGAAGCTTAGTCATATTGCTTTACTCAACATCACTCTTAAGATCTGCTACTGAAATCCTTTTTGCCAGGTTTGTAGTTGAAAAAATTCACCATTCCTGAAGTAGAAACTTAGAGAAATCAAGCTGTATAGTATTGTGTATCTTTTGGATATCTTTCTGTTTTGAGAGAAAAAAATTCTAGAAAAAAATTATTTTCCAATTTAAGAGATTTATTGAAATTGGGACCTTTCAGAGAAATATCTTCAGAATTTGAAACTCAGCCTTCTAATCATTGCTTAGAATAACTTCTTAAACCTCTCTTGCATTCATGCAATATATATGTAGTAAAATTTGAACCTAAGTGAAAGTGGAGCCATGAGAGTTTTCTGTTTTACCAGCTGGGTGTATTCTATATAAATGCATGGACAACAGTTTTTCCTAGATTACCTGGCTTTTCATTTATTCCTTTCCTGGTTTTTCACAAATGGCATGGTACGTGAAGTGATACCATGGAAACTTTGTATGCACGCATATGTGCACACACACACTAAAAAAATTTCACCTTATTAAATTCTTTAACACTTGACACAAAATTGAATCATCGTGGTCAATTTAAAAAACAGTAATGGTCTTTATATCATTGGGTTATGCGAGGGTGATTGATAATATTCCTCTAACTAAGTTCAAAACCAATTAGGAAATAAGATAAAACAAAACTGATAAGAGGCCAAATAATGATAAAAGGATATTGGGAAATATGGCTGTTATTGGGCAAGGTTCCTATAATAAATTCCTAGAATTAGACAAATTCGCCCAGCTATAATCAGCAAGGGCTACCTCAGGTGAAGGGCAGGGGAAGAATCTTTCAGTGAAAGCTATGGCCTGGGCACAGAGGGAAAGAACAGAATATATGTTCACTGTGGGCAAGCAAGCTGCCAGAAAAAGCAGAAGGTCCTGAGCTACTAATTTCTAGTTTCTCCTTTGAAACCCATTATCAGATAAGTCATACCATTTTTTTCTAGGAGAAATAAGGGAATGGAGAGGCAAAGCGTAATCCTAGTAGTACTTGTTTCATATCAGGTACAGAGAGGAGTCCTCTATTCCCCTTCCCTAACACTTACACTAAAATCTTTATTTTGTAATTCTAGCTTTAATGACAGTAATTTAAAAAATCAATATAATTAACGTTTTAAGAATTTTTCTATCTCTGGTACTAAAGTAGTTTCATGACTTAAGATACACACAGATGCCACAGAATTTTGCTTGTTTGCTGTAGAATGTAGGCCTTGGAAATGATTTTCAGAAACATTAAGGAACAAAATTCCATAGTAAAGAAATAGAATGAGGCCGGGCACGGTGGCTCACGCCTGTAATCCCAGCACTTTGGGAGGCCGAGGCGGGTGGATCACGAGGTCAAGATCGAGACCATCCTGGTCAACATGGTGAAACCCCGTCTCTACTAAAAATACAAAAAATTAGCTGGGCATGGTGGCGCATGCCTGTAATCCCAGCTACTCAGGAGGCTGACGCAGGAGAATTACCTGAACTCAGGAGGCGGAGGTTGCGGTGAGCCGAGATTGCGCCATTGCACTCCAGCCTGGGTGACAAGAGCGAAACTCCGTCTCAAAAAAACAAAAAAAAACAAAAAAAAAAAAAACGAGGAATAGAATGATTAGTATACAAGGTCTTAACTGATTAATAGTAGTGCTGAAACTGTATAACAGGCGTCCCCAAACTATGGCCCCCTGAGAGCATTTATCCGGCCCCCCAAGACCATTTATCCGGCCCCCCGCCGCACTTCAGGAAGGGGCATCTCTTTCATTGGTGGTCAGTGAGAGGAGCACAGTACGTGGCGGCCCTCCACCGGTCTGAGGGACAGTGAACTGGTCCCCTGTGTAGAAAGTTTGGGGACACCTGCTGTATAATATGCTCATCTCTTAAATCTCAGTTCTGTATTTTTGAGTAGAAAGGTTACTCAGACCAGAATATTTTAGGGCCGTTATAAAAATGACCAATAACAAATAGGAACAGTGTTAGAACTGAAGAGAGACCAGTTAGATATATTGCTACATTTATCTAATTAACATTCAAATAAATTTAATTATTATTAAGTCTTACTCTGTCCTGAGCATTTTGCTAGGCACTGGAAATGCAGTGTTGATCAAAACAGCCTGATCTATGTGTGATAAATTGTTAACTATACTGGTTACTGTGGGGAGAAAAGCTTTTGTTGGATATATTGTATGTAAATGTAAAAGGGACCAAAAAAATGCTTGTTTTTTATTATTTTGTATGACCATGCAACACCAAGTAAATAGCTGAGTTCCCTTTCTAAACTTTTGCTTGCATTAAAAAAAGACGAAAGACAGACCTTATGTATAGGTTTAAGTTGGTAGCATCTATGAAATCATCATGGAGAAAGACTCCATTGCTAGAAGTATTTCTCTGGTCTCTTTGTGTCTGGATTTCTGCCATTACAACTTTCTTTGGAGTGAAGGTTTGTAGAATTGCAGCCTACTTGTATTTGTTAGCAGGCAAGCTCTCAGAATTCCTTGCCCTATAGAGGCATATAGAGAAAACTTGAAACAACCATTATGAAGTAGTGAAAGAGATCTCTGAAGAAAAATTAGAGAGTAAATTTGACATGTACAAGAAAACCATGAAGGAAGTTGTCCCATGAAGGAGGTTGGTTGCTCTAGTTGACAAGTTATCAGACTGAATGAAAGTGGAGGTGTGTTTTGATAATCTTAAGGTAAGAAAAAAACATTTATAGTCACTGGGAATTTGAAGTGTTAAATTTTCCTCCAAAAAGGTGACCTATGTGGGATCTGGATTTTCTACTATAGTTGTAACATCACATGATGAAAGCTTATGTGAACTATACACATACATTTCCTATAGTTTACGTTTTGGTGAATATGAACTAATCTATTGCAGGGTTTATATCCTAACTTTTCTTGCATGTCACTGCCATTGAAACTTGCATGAAAAGCACTAACTGCCTTCTTTCTCTTCTCCCTGATTGGCTCCAAGGCTGCCAGACAGATCAAGGATAGGTATGGTATAAAACACATTTTTACTTAAGTATCAATATTGAAGTCAGAAATGAAATTCAGAAATAATTTTTTATTAGAATTGTGTTAGTTAAGATAAAAATACCCAATGACCAAGTACAAAATAAAATATCCTCTCTATATTTTCTTGGAATAACCATTGTATCAATAAGATTTTTTTAAAAACATAGTTGTGGATAATTATGTGCTTCAGAAGAATTTCATTTCTGGTGTAATAATGTAGTTAGTTTTAGTTTTAGAACAGTTCTTAATTAGCTGTACTAATGGAGAGGGGACTATTTTGAATAACTCAAAAATGTATATTCCTGGAATGTGTTTTTTGTTGTTAAATTTAAATATAAGTGGGTCTTATTTTCTGTGAACTCACTGATTTTAAGTAGTCCTCAAGAGCTAAAGCTCTCCTACTTCATTGCCCTCCTGTTTAACACCTTTGTATTCTCATTCCATCCTGTTCCTGGTGCCATCTCTTTCTATTTCTAATGCCACTACTATCTAGTTAATAATCTATGGGAAGAGAAAATTATTAAAGGTTTTGGCTTAAAAGGTCTTTCTCATTGATAGAGCCAGGCTTGAGAAAAGGTATTTAGTACTTGTTGTAACAAACATAGAGTCCTAAAGGAGTTGCGGGCAACATTTGGATTGCATTAACACAGAAGGAACAGTTTGGATCTGCCTGTCTAGTCACTGAGCATTGTCTGTATTGAGATTGTAACAAGACTTCTTCTTCAGAGGATCTTGAGATTCTCTGAAAGGCGCAGCTCTATAAAGTACCATTCCAAATCCTAGGTTAAGTTATTCTTCATCAGATAATTCATAAAAATTTTCATTGTAGATTATGTGGAAAACAGTGCCTCTGTTGTTAATCTTGGCTGAAAATTTTAATTCTGGGTTTCTTTCTCTGTCTCTCTCTCTCTCTTTTTTTTTTTTTTTAAAGGCAGAGTCTTGCTCTAGTATCCAGGCTGGAGTGCAGTGGCACTCCAACCTGAAGCTTCTGCCTCCTGGGCTCTGCCTCAGCCTCCTGAGTAGGTGGCACTATAGGCATGTGCCACCATACTCAGCTAATTTTTGTATTTTTTGTAAAGACAGGGCCTTGGTGTGTTGCCCAGACTGGTCTGGAACACCTAAGCTCAAGCTGTCTGCCCAGCTTGGCCTCCCAAAGTGCTGGGATTATAGGCATAAGCCATTGCGCTCAGTCCTATATTAATTTTTATATATATTTTATATATTTTACATCAGACAGTAGCTAAAGGCATGGATCACTCCTTTCAATCCTGGATCTAGAAAGATGATTGTGAAAGTTTGAAGGTGAAAAATATTAGCTGTGTGAGGAGTGGATGATGAATAGGTCAGTTTTGTGGATAAGGTAGATTTGGGTTGTGTCAGGAATTTGCTATGAGTCATCCGTCTTCCTCCCTGGCTATATTGTATTTCCTGTTTAGCTACCTATAATACTACATCTTGCTCTAGTTCCTAATTTTCTGAATTAGAAGTTACTTCCTAATCACGACCTTACAAAATCTCTGCATTTTTCAAGATTCTATACGGCTCTTTGCATCACAGAATCTTGTGTGTATCCTTGAACTCTTTCTCTTTGCCCAGATTTGTTTGTCAGAATTTAATTTTATAACCAATTTCAAGGCTATATTCTTTACTGAAGCTTGTGTTTTTTTGCTTCTAGCTCTAAGCCAGCCTCTTGGCTTGATTTTATTGATATCCAGGTGATCTCAGGAATTAGGGTTCAGGCAAACTCCTTTGTTTTTTGTTTTTGTTTTTGTTTTTGTTTTTTTGCCTTGTTTAAAGCTTATAGCATTTTTGTGGCCCCCTGCAAAGTTTCTATTTCCTACCCAAGGAACATTTCTGAGTCTCAACTTAGTTTTTTTTTTTCCCCCTGTCACCCAGGCTGGAGTGCAGTGGTGCAATATTGGCTTACTGCAGTCTCCGCCGGTTCTCCCGCCTCAGCCTCCCAAGTAGCTGGGATTACAGGCACCTACCACCACACCCAGCTAAGTGAGTGAGTGTGTGTGTGTGTGTGTGTGTGTGTGTGTGTGTGTGTGTGTATGTGTGTGTGTGTGTTTATCTAGAGACAGGGTTTCGCCATGTTGGGCAGGCTGGTCTCAAACCCCTGACTTCAAGTGATCCGCCCACCTTGGCCTCCCAAAGTGCTGGGATTACAGGTGTGAGCCACTGCACCCAGCCCTTCAACTTAATTTTTTAAATTTGATGTTTAGCTTTATAATAACGTTCAGGTTTCTCTGATGTAGTTTTTGGTATTCCTCAACAGTGAGCTTTTAGAATTCCATAACTGCCATTTAAAATATAAAAATAATTTAAACATGCAGTCATAATAAAATAGTTACTTTAGCTATTTTCACCAAGCAAAGAAAGGTTTTTTTTTTTTTTTTTTTTTTGAGACGGAGTCTTGCTTAGTCACCCAGTCTGGAGTGCAGTGGCGTGATCACAGCTTACTGCAGCCTCAACCTCCTTGGCTTAAGGGCTCCTCCCACCTCTGCCACCCAAGGAGCTGGGACTGCAGGCACGTGCCACCATACCCAGTTAATTTATTTGTATCTTTTGTAGAGATGGGGTTTCGTCATGTTGTCCAGGCTGGTCTCAAACTCCTGGGCTCAAGCCGTCCTCCTGCCTCAGCCTTCTGAAGTGCTGGGGTTACAGATGCTAGCCACCTTGCCTGGCCTAGGATTATCTTTTTATAAGGACAGAGATGGATTTTAAGGGAGATTGTGTAACACATCTGAGCAAGGAATTAAATATAAAAAATGAAAATATCTGAAAACTCATTATCTTTTGTATGGTAGAAGTTACGCAGAGGAATAGCAGAATTAGGAGAGAAAACTAAGGTTAGAAATAAGAGAATAGCACATCTCTACAACTTGATAGAATTGCTGGCGTGTACTTCTGGGCACTTAATAATACTGAAATATGATTAGTTGAGATATATTGCAGGAGTTATTGGTTCTTGAAAGACAGGGGTTGTGAAAGGCTCAACTTAGGTAGTTTGAGGAAATTGAAAGTGTTCATATGTTTTGTAGTTGTTTTCTTTTTGCAAAAATCAAGAGGAATGGATCCTTGAATTCACCTTGCACTAGTAGAAATGAACTAAGAAAATCAAGGGGAATTAAAACATACCTAGCCACGTGGATCCTGTAGTATAGAGGATTATCTAAAGAATTTTAGATGTTTAGTTTGGGCTTTGAGGCACATGTCTAAATATATGAAGTAAAAAATTAAAGTTCAATCTTCTGAAAGATTGTAGCATTGCTGCACATCTAAATTGGTTCATGGAAACTTTTAAGTTTTCATTCATTAGGAAATAAGGGTTGTTTGGTTTTTTTAAGCTCTGATAAGCCTTTCTAGTGTGTTTTTTTCTTTAATGTCGTGGTGATCAAGTCTTACAGGTTTGAGGTTTAAGATTCTCTAAAATACTTTTAAGATTTTTTTTCCTCAATATTTCTGAGTAAACATTTAAATATTTGATCAGGCTTTGAAGAAACCAAGTAGGTTCAAACCTATTCACTGATTCAGCGAGCATTTATTAAGTACCTACAGCTCTTTCAGATGTCCTCAAATCAAAGGATACTTGGGGCCGTAAAGAATAACATCTGAAGGACTTCGTATTTGTTCCTTTTTATTGAAATTGTGTTATTTTAGAGCCAAACAGCTTAGTGTAATATGCATGAAATACTCAGCATTATACTTGGCATATAGTGCATTGAGTCAGTGTGAGTTCCCTTTTTTGTAAATTATATTTCAGTGTAGCACTTTCTTCTTAATAAACACATCAACTGTTTGTTTACTCATTGTTACTATTAAATGATTACTAGTTTTAAAATAAAGTAAAATAACTCAAGACAGAAACAGTTTGACAGTTTTTCATCCCAAAATAAGTGAATACAAGTTAGACATCTTTCATTTCATTGACCTCTTGGGTAGAATTGGCAGATACAATTGATTTGGCAGGTACAGTTGACAAGGCCAAGTATTCTCTTTGTCCACCAGCTCTGTTTCCTTCCTTTTCCAAATTGTGTACTAGGAGGACAGTGTTCACCTGTAGTACTTCTCATCATTTTTGAACCAAAGATAGTAAGGGGCTTACTCTGTGATACTTGTGGAAATTTATTGGAATAAGAAAAATTGAAATTTGAGATAAAATTAATAGAATAGGAGGATTTCTTTTAATCTCCAGTTTTAATGGACTGCAGTTTCTGTGTACTTTGGATAAAGTGGCTTCATTCTTTTTTGGTTTACCTAGTAAATGTTTATTGAATTCCTATTATTTCTATGGAATATAGTTTTTCACAGGGTTGTTTCTTATAGTATGTTTTCCTGTGTCTGATGTTGATTGATCAGAGTGACTCCTAGTATGGTATTCATTGATAGTGATTTCACTTATCCATGGCCTATGTTTAGCAACTACCAAACTATACAGTATTAGGTAAATCTGCCTCTACTCTTATTTGAGGGTACACGGAGTAGCTCTTAAGACTAGGGAGGATGTTTGAATCAGGGTGTGATTCAAATGAATTTAAGTTCATTATCTGGCATATGAAAAGGAGTAAGGCTGGCATCAGGAAGTCAGTAAGATTGAGTGTACAGAGGTTAAGGCGAATGTGGGGTCTGGTAAAGATCATTTTTATTGGATATGTTTCTTATGTTATTTGTATATGTGCAATTTAATAAAAGTTGACTGGAGGAAAGTTGCTAACCAATTGTCTTAAATATCTTTAAAAAGACATTTTGTAGTTTTTTTTTATCTAGTTAATTTTGAAAAGACTATAAGAGCAAATTTCTATTTCACTTTTACTTTTGTTATAGTCTCTGAAATTGTTAGTGATATAATTTGTGTCTTTTCATTTTAGAAATTACATATGATTTGATACTTCCTATTTTTTTATTTTAAAAAGTATGTTTGTGTTTACCATAGAGTCACAATGGCTTCAGCCTTTCGCCTTTCTTTGAAACCAAAGGTCAGTGACAACATGACTCATTTAATGGTGGATTTCTCACAGGAAAGACAAATGCTGCAAACTTTGAAGTTTTTGCCAGGTAAATACATGTATTACTTGTAAAGTTTTGTATAAAAACTTTTTTTAAAAAGTTGTTTTTGCAATGAACATTGGTATGTAAATATTAAGGAAGTATAGTGTCATTTTTTTTTTCATTCAGCTAAGGAATAAGTAAATTTGCTAGATTTTATTTTTAGAGATTCTATTGGTAGTAAAAATTGCATTTTAAGAATCCTATCAAGGGATCTTTTATTGTTAGCTTGGCAGAGGGAAGCAGTATGGTGTGATGGTTAACAGTGAGTCTCAACGCCAGACTTCTCAGGTTTGAATCCTGTTGCTAACTTGCTATGTAATCTTGAACAATTTACTTAACTTGCTTCATTTTTAACATCTTTCAAATGTGATATTATTCTTCTAGGGTTTTTATAAGGATTAAATAAATTGATACCTCTAAAGTATTTCTAATACTACCTGCGTATGGTTAAAATTCAGTGAATGTTAGGTGTTATTATTGTTGTGATTGTTGGCTTAGGTGGAACTTTAGTAATATGTTAACATTGTTTTATAAAGTATTAATATGAGGATATTGCAGTAGCCAAAACCATTTGTGATCGAGTTCCAAATTATTCACATATGTACAAGAGCCAATTAAGGACCAGTCTTAGTCTGTTTTGTGTTGCCATTAACAGAAGGCCTGAGACTGAGTAATTTATAAAGAAAAGAGGTTCTGTAGGCTAAGAAATTCAAGACTGGGCAGCAGTGTCTGGCAGCTTCTAGTGATAGCCTCGTGCTGCAACAAAACATGATGGAGCACAGAAGAGGAACCAGACACATGTGAAAAAGGCAAAACAAGAGAGGCAGCCTCACTTTGTAAGACCCTTCTTTCATGGGAACGAATCCATTTTTATAAGAACTGACCTAGTCGTTTTTTTTTTTTTGAGACAAAGTCTTGCCCTATTACCCAGGCTGTAGTGCAATGGTGCAATCTCTGCTCACTGCAACCTCTGCTTCCCGGGTTCAATGATTCTCTTGCCTCAGCCTCCTGAGTAGCTGGGATTACAGGCACACACCACCACACTTAGCTAATTTTTTTGTATCTTTAGTAGAGATGGGGTTTCACCATGTTGGTCAAGTTGTTCTCAAACTCCTGACCTCGTGATTCACCTGCTTGGCCTCCCGAAGTGCTGGGATTACAAGCATGAGCCACTGCGCCTGGCCACCCAGTCTTTTTTTTTTTTTTTTTTTTGAGACGGAGTTTCGCTCTTGTTACCCAGGCTGGAGTGCAATGGCGCGATCTCGGCTCACCGCAACCTCCGCCTCCTGGGTTCAGGCAATTCTCCTGCCTCAGCCTCCTGAGTAGCTGGGATTACAGGCACGCACCACCATGCCCAGCTATTTTTTTTGTATTTTTAGTAGAGACGGGGTTTCACCATGTTGACCAGGATGGTCTCGATCTCTTGACCTTGTGATCCACCCGCCTCGGCCTCCCAAAGTGCTGGGATTACAGAGTCTTTTGAGAAAGTTGTTAGTCCGTTGTGATGACCTAAGCACCTCTTAAAGGCACCACCTCCCAACACTGCCATGTTGATGACCAAACTTCAACATGAGTTTGCTAGGGACAAGTCAGGAATATGGCTTACAACCTTTGGTTAGGTTTTTTCTGAGCATCATGTTGCTGATAACTAAAACTATTTAGATATGGTGATTTGAGGATCAAGGAATTTCTTGAAAGTGACATGTTTTACTTACAAATACTTGTTTTGGAGGTTAGCTGTTTTTGAATAGAGAATGTTGATTATATGAAACCATTCCTTTTTTCCTTGAATAGGGAAATGATAAGGGACTTTAAATATGATTGGAAAAACAAGTTGGTAGTTGTAGCACTGTATTGGAACCTAGGAAGAGTAGCACAAGTGAAGTATTAATTTGTGTGACATAGATTAGAAGTTCTAGAGGAGTTCATAAAAGGAAAAGATGAGAGAAGGAACTGTAGTTGTAGAGGAAGAAAGTATACTTGTCATTGCCTATTTACCAAAACAGTGGCCTTTCAGAATTTCTATATTTTCATTCACAGGGCTCTACTTAAGAGTGAAACTGATATTAAAGCAGGAGTAAACATTTTTGAAAGTTTTATTTTGGTTACCATATAATTTAAAATGGTTTGGTCTTTTCAGTCTGATATATAGAATTTATTAGTAAGAAGCTGGATTTTATTTTAGTTTTGAAAATTTGAGATGGTAGTATCAAAGTATCAAAGTTTCACAGTTTACAGTTAACTGAGGTTTACTTTTAAGTAGAACACTCTTCTGTTCACCTGTGGGAGATAGGGACTTAAATTTCAGACTAGGAAACATATCTCCAAATGTGAACTCTTACTTAAGAAAGGAAAATAGGAAGTATGTTTAGAAGTCACATTAACTATATGTCTCTGCTTACCACCAGTATGACCCTAAAACTTTAGAATTTCACCCTTCTTCATACAGCTGTTAGATGTAAAACATTCTTAATCTAATTTCCATCTGAGCAGAGAGCAAAGAAAAAATTCAGCAACCTAGAGAGGAAAGTTGTCCTTTCCTGCTTATCTATTTACATATTAAAGTCACTTTAGTATTTTTATTGGAAAAAGGAATATATGCATGTGGTAAGCAGTTAAAGTAGTATAAAAGCGTGTAAACTAAAAAGTAGCCCTCTCATCTCACACTTCAGTTTTCCCTAGGAGCTAGCACTGTTAACTAGCATGTACTTACCTTACCAGAAACAGTCTATGCCTATAAAAGTATCATCATATAGACAGAATCATATAATTGGTGTTTTTGGCAATTTCATGTGATTAAACCTAACATATAATTCACCTCCTTTAAAAAGGTGGAAGCTTATAGTAGAGCAAGAACTCAAAAAAATGAAGCATACATATACACTGTTATATAATATTGCTTTGCCACTTAACAGTATGTAGGAGTTTATTCCAGATCACTGTAGATCTTCACTTTTTTTTCATGACTAGATAGTAGGGATGTAATTAGTTCTTGATGAGTATTTAGGTTTATAGTCAGTTTATTAGAAACAGTGCTGAAATGATCAAATTCTTGTATATATTTGCAGAGAGGTGCCACTCACTATCTCTTGAGGACAAATTCCTGGAAGTGGAAGTGCATGTTTATTTTAAATTTGAGTAGGTTTTAAGTTGTCAAAGAGATTTCACAGTTTATATGTACTGGAAAATATTTGAATGCCTATGTGGTTATACCGCTGCAAACACTGCTGTCAGGATTTTCTTTTTTTCCTATTCTACTAGGTGACAAATGTGTTATGATTGTTTTAATGTTCATTTCTTGAATGAGTTTGTGGATTTGTCGTATTTTCGTAAGCCACTTTAAAAATGAACTCCCTATTTATGAATTTTGTCAATTTTTCATGGGATTGTTAATCTTTTAAATGATACGTAGGGCAGGACCTTTTAATAAAGAAGTCAACCTTTGTTCTATGTGGTGTAAATCCTTGCTCACCTTGATCATTTGTCTGTTGAATTTATGGTGATTTTTTTTCCTAGCAAAAAGTTTTCATTTTAATGCAGTTATAACATCATACTTTTCTTTTGTGACTCAGATTTTATAAAGATCTTACTTAGAAAGACTTTCCCTATTTCAAGATATAAAAAATACACATATTTTCTTATATTTATAGCTTTTTAAAAATAAACTTTATTTTTAGAGCAATTTTAGTTTTACGGTAAAATTGAATGAAAGGTGTGGAGATTTCTCATATACCTTCATACATGTATAGCTTCCTTCACCATCAACGTCTCCCACCAGAGTGGTAATTTATTACAATTGATGAACCTACATTGACACATCATTACCACCCAAAAGTCTATGGTTTACATTAAGGTTTCCTCCTGTTGTACATGTTATGGGTTTGGACAGATATATACTGACATGTATCCACCATTGTATTATAATAGTATTTTCACTGCCCTAAAAATCCTCTGTGTCTCACATTTTCATCCTTCCCTACCCTCAGTTCATGGCAACCACTGATCTATTTGTTATCTCCATAGTTTTGCCTTTTCTAGAATCTTGTATAGTTGGAATCATGTAGTAGGTAGCCTTTTCACATTGCTTTTTTTCACTTAGTAATATACATTTTAAGTTTCCTCCATGTGTATTGATGACCTGATAGCTCATTTCTTTTTAGTATAGAATAATACTCCGTTGTATGGATGCACCATGATTTATTTATTCATTTATATACTGAAGCACATCTTGGTTACTTCCAAGTTTGGGCAGTATGAATAAGGCTACTATAAACATCTGTATGCACATTTTTGTGTAGACATAAGTTTTCAATTCCTTTGGGTAAATGCCAGTTACTGAATAGTATGGTAAAAGTCTGTTTAATTTTATAGAAAACTACCAAACTGTCTTCCAAAGTACCTGTATGATTTCGCATTCCCACCAGCAATGAATGAGAGTTCTGTTGTTCTACATTTTCATCAATTGGTGATATTGTGGTATTTTTTTAAAATTTCAGTTTCCCTAATGGCATATTATGTGAAGGATCTTTTTATATGTTTATTGTCTGTATGTCTTATTTAGTGAGATGTCTGTAAGGTCTTTGGCCTATTTTTTTTTTTTTTTTTTTTTTTACATTGGGTTGTTACTTTTCTTATTGTTGAATATTAAGGGTGCCTTTGTAGTCCTTATCGGATGTTTCTTTTGCAAATATTGTCTCCCTGTCTGTGGCTTCTTTTTCCCTTGACAGTATCTTCTACTGAGCAAGATTTTTAATTTTAATAATGTTTAGCCTATCCTTATTGTTTCTTTCATGAAGCATGCCTTTGGTTCCTTTGTCTCTTCTTTCACCAATACCACGTCTTGATAACTATAGCTTTATAGTATGTCTGAGAGTTGACTAGTTTCAGTCTTCCAACTTTGACCTTCTTTTTCAATATTGTGTTTCCTTTATCTGGATCCTTTGCATTTCCATATAAACTTTAGAGTCATCTGATATCCACAAAATAGCTTACTGGGATTATGATTG